ACGTTTTTTTATATATATATCGCTATTCTAAATGGAACACTGGTTAATTTTCCTTGTTTTGATAGTCGAATATAGAATAAAAGAAATAATACCCCGGCCTTCTTAATGATTGTTGACTATTTTTACTAAGGAAAAAAAATGTACCATACTTTTTCACATTCTTATGTATTATCCAGCAATGTCAGTACGTTCCTGTTTACCGAATGTATGCATTTCTTGGGAATGAAATTTATTCCAAAAAATAAACATTTATCAAATTTTTCTCATCAACTGTAATTAAAAATATGTTATACATCCATTGCGATCTTAGTGCGAAAGGAATCCTGTTTTTCTTCTGTTAGTTTTTTCGTCGTACTTCAGCTTTCATTTTAAACGAAACAACTGATAATTTACTAGTCATGAGAAGCATGACATTTATTTTCAAATGATTGGCATTTCCCGTTTCAGAGTTATTTTTAAGTGTGTAATTTTAAATCAAACAAGGCATTTAGTTAAACGATACCTTACAAAATGATCTGAAATTAAATATAACGTAATGGATCACTAAAATATTTCTGATTACAGTTCCAGTTTGACTTTCTCGTTTGTTAATACTTTCTGTTTCCCGAATATAAGATGCAGTGGCGGTAATATATATTTAGAAAAATATATGCGCAGTAGAATAAAAGTACTAATGTAAAGGTCTATGAGGTCATCTTGCTTTATGTCAATTATGAAAATGGTTTGCAATTGACATTCTCTTTTATTCCGTTTCATCATTGCTTTTATTGGATTGTCTAAAAGGAATTTATTTTTTAAATTTATATAGTCTTCCTACCTACATAACATGCTATTCTTCACTTACTGTCGGAAGGTTTTGAGCAAAGTTGTATTATTCTTTAATGTAATTCATTTGTCGATGTTTCTGTCACTGTGAGACGTTATATGTTACATACTGTAAATCTAACTGCAGTAAGACAAATTAAAAACAATTATATCTAATCCATTTCAGTCATTTGAATTAATAACTCAGTAGAACAGAAGTACTTTATTTTCAACTGTTTACGTTGTTTTGTGTTCAGACTGTTATACCACTGTCCCTGATTAAGGGGAGGGTTGAGCGCTCACAAACATGTTTAACCCCGGAACATTCTTTATGTGCCTGTCCCAAGTCAGGAGCCTGTAGTTTAGTGGTTGTCGTTGGTTCATGTCTGTCATATTTGTTTTTCGTAAATTGTTTTGTTATGAATAAGGCCGATAGTTTTCTCTATTGAATTGTTTCATATTTTTAATGTCGGGGCCTTTTAAAGCCGACCATACGGTATGGGGTTTTCTCATTGTTGAAGGCCGTACGGTTGCCTATAATTGCTCACATCCACTTCATTTGAACTTTGGTGGATATATTGTCTCATTGGCAATCATACCGCATCTCCTTATTTTTATATTGAAACTATCTTGTCTATTAGTTTTTTAGTTGAATCTTTTTATATCATTGCTCTTACTGTCAAGAGATGCGTGGTGTGGACGTTATGGTAGTTATAAAACAAAATATATTATAGTTACATGCATTAATTGATATTTATGTAAGTATGATTAATTTTAGACTAATAGCTTTCTTATGTTGAGTGTTATTAAGTTAAATAAATCGTGGTTTCAAAGTATTAAAGTATTTATACATAATAATGAAATGGTTTTTTTCCGTTTTATCTTGATTTTCAATCCAACAAACATTATGAAACTGTTATGCAGTAGGTTTCTGTCTCTTGTAATTGTTTTTCGTATTGTTTTAGCAGAAAAAAACGCTGTTGTCTTTCTCTTTTGAATCGTTTCACATTTTGTCAAGCCTAGGCCTTGAATGAGTTTATTATATGGGTTTTGCTAATTGTTGAAAGGAACCTGCTATTGTTTTACTCCCTCGAACAATGTGTACGAACTCTAAAGATAAGACTAAGCAGCAAGGTAATAATATCGACAAGAACAAAAAAGGAATATTCCTCTGAAAATATTTTTTCCCAGCAGATCTTTGGAAGGATGTGGCACGAATGTGGACTTCCACAGCGGGCTGATGATCTCTGACGCAACAATTATTTATATAGAAATAATATGAAACTTTGAATCATCTTTAGAGAAGAAGAATTTCTAATCGTCTTAGACACTCGTAATGAGAACAATTTTGGATATATTTCAGCAGCATTAATTCTTGAAACAGTGTTATTAATATGCAAACATCACAGTTCAATTCGAGAGTTTTTCTGGAATTAATATAAACTGTGCTAAAAGTTTAAATGGTAAAATATAAAAAGATGTTCTTATTGTTTGTCTTTTTTACGTCATTTTTCGATTATATTGCAATATAAAGGCAACTGTAGTATATCGGTGTTCAAAAGTCATAAATCGATTGAGAGAAAACAAATCCGGGTTACAAACCAAAGCCAAGCCTGTTTTATGAACATTATAATTAATCAGCAAATTCTATCTAAAAACCAACTCTGTTTTCCTCTGATACAATTGTTGTCGTGGGAGTGTGATTTTTCGAATTGTTTGAAAAATTAATCCCCAAATAAACACTACAATCATTGCAGTTTTTATATTACGATGACAATTTAGCCTTCTTTGAACACAAAAGGAAATGTATATACGGTACAGAAATACACTCTTACATCTTCCTTCGAGATTCAAATATCAGAATCATCCCTCGAATGTCTTGAAAGTAATCATGTTACAATGAAATTAATGTAAATACAGTACGAAATAATTTGTATCACGACGTAATGAAACTAGGTTGAATCAATCACATGCATTAAGAAATATTTTTAGGATGTTACTAAATAGATATGCCTTGAAACCATTATGTGGATATTTTTTTAAGAAATACATAAATATACCAAGAAAAGAATAAAAGTGAAGCTAAATCAATACACCTGCGTGGGAAATATAATGTCTGTTTCGTACATGCTCTGTATGTTTATCCGAGGGCTAAAAGCGAATAGACAACTGCACAAAAAATTGCACTTGATATGCAAATTTTTCTTTACTTTGCATTTTTATGACATTACATTTTTTCTGAGTCGCTATGTATTTCATTCATATTTGATAGCCTAACAACGAACACTTTCTTCAAGAAATTGGTCTTTGTTTTAAATTCTCGTCTATCAGCTCAAAAACAAACATCAAACAAATTGAATAAACACTTAATAAATTATCTAAAAACTTATATCTTCTCAATAATAACGAGAATTTCGTTTATTAAAAGAAATTTCCAAGGAAGTTTTACGTGTTCATATAAAGTGTGTGTGTGCAAACTGCTTTGGTGTCTAAAGAAAATTTCACCATAAGTGTAATATTACAATTGTTTTTTCATGGCTCATTTCTACGATTGATTTTAGGAAATTGTGCGCGCAAATGCAGACTCGTATTAAGAATTTTTAAATTTCTATTGAATGGTGTTTACTTTTGGTTGCAAAAGTCTTGTTTTTGAAGATTTCTGCACATCATATTTTTAATAGATGTTGGTAAATACTTTTATCCGTTTACTTCATCCACGAATGTGCGGCCAAAAAAATCAATTTGCGACAATCAAATTACCACTTTGATGCCCACAAGTCTCCAAATACAACTCTTCTATATCCCAAGTGTCCTAATACAATCTAGCACCTGTAACTGATACCTATCACGTATAGAGAGATAAGTTACCGATTCTAAATCTGAATCAGTAAAAAGATGTTGAACAATGTAAACAGTCAAAAATTAATAAAAGAGATTTATCACGTGTACACATATTAGGAGTCCAAAATAAACACGGAATGAAATTTCAGAAAGTACTTCCAGGTCACACTGTGTTGTGAAATGTCACAAATATTTCAGGTAAATTCGATTAGAAACAAGAAGATACATACTGAAAAAATGATTGCAGATATATTGAATTCAGTTGCAATGTTTAATTGATACCATGTAGTTTGCCTAAGATTCGTCTAAGTCACGTTAGCCAATAATGTCTGTTCGTTTGCTCACACAATTTGTCAATACATTGTTGTATAAAGGAACTATAACTGTAATACAGGTGGGAGGTTAAGCTATCTTTAAAACCAGGTTTAAACCAGTTCATGAATATAACGATTGTTGTCCAGTCGTTCCAGGACGTTTAGTTTTGTCAGGTTTTATGAACTTCTCCTCTATTTGAGCTTACCTTGTGTTAAAAGTTTTTTGTTAATACAATTTTTTTTTAAATGTTTGCCTTTCGGATTTTTGAGCTGTTAAATGGCGATAGGATACAACCATGGTATCATAAATACAAATAGCCTCAAAAAATAACATAGTTTACGGTTGACTATTATAAAACCTTAAAAACCAATCACTGAGAGTTAGTGTTAAACGCTTACAAAGTACCTTTATCCCACACCATACTTCATCTCATTAACTTGTTATAGAAAAATATATAAAAATCCCTACACGCACCTGATTGTGTATAAAACTTAATGTTCGAAGGTAAGGTAATATCGAGCTTATAGTCTTTTGATGTTCTGTTTAGGACATTGATTGCTTTTTTCATTTAGATGTTTATACGTTATAACTATGTCATACTATTCTGTATGACCGTTTAAAATGTTAAATGTGTAAACTGCTATTCCAAATGGTTCATAATATAAGAACACTGATTAATTTTCCCTTAAATTGATAGTCGAATATAAAATAAAAGAAATGATACCCCTTCTTAACAGTTTGTAAACAATTTTTGCTAGTGTTTTATGAATGTACCATACATTTTCAGATACTGTGTATTCTCCATGAATTTCAGTTCCTTTCTGTTTGCCTAATGTATGCATTTCTTGGGAATGAAATTCATTCCAAAAAATAAACATTTGTCAAATTTTTCTCATTAACTGTAATTGCAAACTTTTATACTTCAATTGCGATCTTAGTGCGCAAGGAAAATGATCTCTGTTAATTTGTTCGTCGTAATTCAGCTTTCAGTTAAAATGAAAAAACTGATAATAAACGAATCATAAGAAGTATGACATTTATTTTCAAATGATTGGCATTTCCCGTTTCAGAGTTATGTTTATGTTTGTAATTTTAATCAAACACGGCATTTTGTTAAACGATACCTTACAAAACCATCTGCATTGAATGTAACGTAATGGACCACTAAAACATTTGTGATTACAGTTAAAGTTTGACTTCCTCCTTTGTTAATACTTCCTGTTTCCCGAATATTAGATGCAGTGGCAGTGATATATATCTACAAAAATATATGCGCAGTAAAATAAAAGTACTAATGTAAAGGTCTATGAGATCTTCTTGCTTTATGTCAATTATGGTAATGGTTTGCAATTGAAATTCTCTTTTATTCCGTTTCATCATTACTTTAATCAGATTGTCTTAAACGAAGTTATTTTTAAAATTTGTAACGTATTTCTACCTACATAACATGCTATTCTTTACTTACTGTCGGAATCTTTTGAGCAAATTGTATTATCCTTTATGTAATTTATTTGCCGACGTTTCTATCACTCTGAGACGTTATATGTTACATCTGTATATCTTATTGCTGTAAGACAAATTAAAAACAATTATATTTAATACATTTCAGTTGTTTAAATTAATAGCTCAAGTAGAAATAAAAAAGAAATTAAATTCTTGTTGTTAACATTGTTCAGTACAGACTGAAACTACTTTGTCTTTAATAACAATTAGAATTTTGTCGTCATAGTGAAATCTGTTTATTTCATTGTTTTTTGTCGTTAGTTTTTGTCAGCAATAATTGTTTTCCCTTATTGTTTTAGCATAAATCAGGATGTTTGTATTCTCTTTGAATTGTTTACCATATTGTCATGCCAGTGCAATAAGTTTACTATACGGTATTAGTTTTGCCTATTGTGGAAGGACGTACGGTGACCTGTATTTGTTTAGATCCACATCTTTTAGTCTATTTTACTGAGTTCCTTATCTAAAGGCTAGACTAAACGCCATGATAACCGTATCACCATGGAGAAAAAAATTTAGGACATTTTTAATGCATGATGGAGGTGAGAAAAACTATTTATGAAGTTTTAAACTAGATACGTAAGGGATAGCATTGACCTCGCACCCTACTTAATCTCCAAAGAAAAACCCTTTATTTCAGTGTTGGTGATTGTCATTGAGTAATTTTCGTTGTTCCAGATATTAGGTTAGGGGTTTTCCTAGATTTTGTATTTTGTCAATTGTTTTTTTTTTTCTTTATATTTAAACGACCACTATAATTTTTAAACGTTTTGTCTATTTTAAGCTATCTGGATGTTATCGATTTTCGTAATAAAATCGAATATCGTACAGATTCAAAAAAGATCTTGATATTAATGCCTTGAATATAGTGAAGTGAAAAGACTCATAATTCTAATCGGTAAAAAAATAAAGTTAATCTATCTTACATATGAGCTGCGTCGGATAAAAATCGACCGGATGCAAGTGCACTTATACTTGATTGATTTTGGAACATTCAAATACGAAATAAAATATGAATTTGGGTTTGTTTTGTTGGGTTCTTACATCAACTCAATTTTCAAACAGTTACAGACCTTGCATAGAGATTTGTTCAACCCGAAATAAGTTTTCATATGTATTGATTAATTTGTATAAGGTTGATTTCTATCCGACCAGCTCATATCATGAGGAAAGCATGTGGTTTACACGTGACATTGTCGTTACTGTGGAAAATAGTCAAGTTTCGGTAAAACGGAAGTCAATTGTCACTATTTGTTTTAAAAATCCTCGTATTGGACTGTGCATTTATGCTAAAAATTCAAATACTTAAAATAGTATTTCATGTTTTGTAACGCACTTATAACAGCATAGCTATGTATGTTACTCCGTATTGGTAAAATTATCAAGCTTATATAAAAAAAAATTTATATCCAAACCTACTCTTCTCCGGCATAGAGTTAATATCCGTCCCATACGTGCTTTGCTATACTTTACTTATTATGACGTCATATTGAGTAAAGTGCTACGTAGTATGGAACGGAACGGAAATGTCTCTGCGTCGGAGATTGCAAATCTACTGGAAGTCGGGTAGATTGTCAAATACTTTTATGTAATCAAAGATTATATTTTTACATTTCAAGGTATTGTTTGTGTCCCAGTAGCGACAGCATAAACTGAAAAGTCGAATGTACATGTAAATATTTATAATTTTGTTTATTGTGAACAGAAATAAGTTAATTACATAAGCCAATTCAAACTTAATCAGATATTAAAGTCTAGCAAAAAGTTCATAAATATTTAGACGTAACAGCATTTTTCTAATTCGTAAGTTTGTCTGGATTTAACATAGACAGTACTAAAAGTTTTGATGATATGATATCAATTAAAGCACGGATAGAAGCTCTTATAATTTGTCTTTTGTAATTTAATCAGTGAAATTTTTTTTTATTAATATGTCTGTCAAATCAATAACACACATAAATTCTAAAATCGAAACCTTTGTCTATCTGATGAATAAAGGCAACAGTAGTATACCGCTATTCGAAATTCATAAATCGATTGAGGAAAACCAAATCCGGGTTACAAACTAAAACTGAGGGAAACACATCAAATATAAGAGGAGAACAACGACACAACAGAAACACAACACTAAAATGCAACACACACGGAAACTAACTATAATATAATAATGGCCATTTTCCTGACTTGGTACAGGACATTTTAAGAAAAATGGTGGGTTGAACCTGGTTTTGTGGCTAGCCAAACCTCCCGCTTTTATGGCAATGTTAAATATAACATTAAAATGACAGGACTACAATACAAATAAATGGGAGAACATACAGGACAGAGACACACACAAATAATAGCTATCAAAAGGTATCAGGCTTATAATTTAATACGCCAGACGCGCGTTTCATCTACACACGACCTCTCAGTGACGCTCAGATCAAAAAAGTTCGAAAGCCAAAACAAGTACAAAGTTGAAGAGCATTGAAGACCAAAAGTTCCAAAAAGTTGTGCCAAATACGGCTAAGGTTATATGCCTGGTATAAGAAAATCCTTAGTATTTAGAATAATTCATACTTTTGCAAACAGTAAATTTATAAAAATGACTATATAATAGATATACATGTTAACAACGAAGTGGTGACTAACTACAGAATAAAAACGAATACGTAAAACAACCTAAAGCAGCACATAAAAAAGGCACAGCCGAACAACGTATTATATGTTAGCCGAAGAAATCGACGCACAATCTGACATCACATATAAATTTCTATAAATTTCTAAAAAATAGGATAGAGTTCAAGATAAGGTTTGTAATACTGATATAACATGTATTAATAGCAATGAAAATTACAATACTTATTAATATACAATTGTGGTAGTAATTAGATAATTAATTGTATTATCAAGCTATGTCGGTATTTCTTCTAAATCTAAATTGTTCTCGTGGGAGTGTGATCTTTCATTATTATAATACAAAAAAAATATTACACTCAAAAACAGTAATTATATTTAGATAGAAATTTAATCTTCTCTGAGTACAAAAGAAAATATATGCATTACAGAAATACACGTTTAGGTCTTCTCTAGAAACTAAATGATCTAACTTATCCGATAAACGTCTTGAAAAAATAACAAATAATTATGTTACAAAACAATTAGTGTAAACACATTACCAAATTATTTGTTACGCAATGTCAGTAAATTAGGTGGAATCAATCACATTCACTGAAAAAAATATTTATGATGTTACTAAATATATATGCCTTTAAACCATTTATGTGAATCTGTGTTTAAGAAATACATAAATAAATCAAGAAAAGCGCAACTGAATGCAAAACATAAATATAAAACATGCGTCGCAGATCTCATATCTGATCTGTACATGTCCTGTCATATACAATGAAATATTTATTCGAGGGCTGATCAAAAAGTGCGCAAAATAGTAAGTTTTCCTTAAATTTATTTTTCTACTTTTCATTCTGATAACATGATTTTTTTCTGAGTTACTATTAATTTCAAGCATATTTGATAGCCTATTTAATTGTGCACATACCAATGTATGACGTGGACATGGTCCCGAATGTTCCCGATCACTTTCTTCAAGAAATTGCATTTTATGTAACTTTTGTATATCAGTGCAAAAACAAACATCAATCAAATCAAATTGATAAATGATAAATCATAAATCATCTAGAAATAATTGATAAGTGCCGCAAACGACGAAAAATGTTGATGAAAGGCCTGATTCTTAAGTACATATCAACAAAGTCTGACGCATTTAAAATGCGATTGTCGAAAATAAGTAGATAGTTTGTTTGCAGAAAAGCATACATAGAACGTCTTCTGAAATAGCTTAAGTGCATTTTCCATCAAAGTTTGACGTTAACATACAAAATATGTGTTATTTTTTTTTATAATAAACCAAAGAGACATAAATCATATTCGTATGTATATACCACAATTATATGACAATAAAGGGACTGGCAAAACAATTCTGGTGTCTAAATAAATATCAGCATAAGTGAACTATAGCAAAATAGATTAATCCGTCCTAGGTTTTATCAATTCAGACAACCACTGAGTCAGTACGGCTGCTGGTGAACTATGAATCCGTGAATGTGTCAGTTGTCCAACAGCGAGTGATTTGGTACTAGCAAGATTTGGTTGCAACCAAGTTATAAGTTATGCAATTGTTTTTAATCTAAAGTTGAAATTTCGGCGGCGAAATTGGTCGTATTGATGCTTGTAACTGATTTTTTTTCAAATTTCCAGATTTTATGCATAAGTTAATTCTAGAAAAACGTTTCTTGTATCATGCAGAAATTAATATGGTCCGAGTACACAGTTATTTCGTAGTGCATTTCTTTTAGATAATAAATGAAAATAAAAAAAATCCCACCTGCGCTTTCTCAATAATATTTTTACAGTGTGTTGTACTACTTTTGGGTTAAATTATATCAAAATTATAGAAATCTTCATCAGCTCTAACTCAAAATATGGACAATTTCATGTTAAGGGGGTCTTGAAATCTTTTGACAGCTTCCAAAGTGCTAATTTTTAACCTTTTTCAGCTGTACCAAATCACTACTTTACTTTAAAATTCATGACGCATTTTTTTTTACAGTGTAATTTCATCCCCCCTACTTGCTATTTGAGGCATAAAACATGAAGAAATACATTTGGAAGAGGAATAAAAAACAATGGAACTCACTGTGCACACTAAGGACTATATTTGTGGACAACGAAAATCAAGGGACGATATCTGTGTTTCCGGACCTAATAGGATAGAAAAACTTGCCCCATCTTAATAAAACTTTATATGACTAAAGCGTTATATATTATGAGACTGCTGACAAAGATTCATAGCAATAGGATATATATTATAGACAATATGATAAATTCTATATTCAACTTTTCGTGTTAAATTTTGACATTATAATTGAAAAAAAATTCAACTATCAACATTTGGGGCTTTGAAAATGAAAATATTGAAAAAATTACTTTTTAAATGCCTAAATATATAATATATCATGTATTAAAAGCAATAGAATTCTCATTTGATTTATCAGAATTTTT